CTGTGAGTGCTCCTCTAACCTGTTGGCCACTCACCACAGCTCTGGCGGGCTCAGGGGGGAGGAGGGGGCCGTCACTGTGGCCAGGTCCGCATAACCCTCTACCCACAACGCGTGTCCTTCTCTTCCCCCACTGCTAAAGACAACGTATATCACATCCACAGCCTATGTCACCAGAGAAAGAAATCAGGTTGGTCAGGCATGACTTCCTCTTTGTGAATCCATGCTGACTGTTCCCGATTGCATTGTTATCCTCTAGGTACTTCACAATGAAGTCCTTGGAAACTTGCTCCATGATCTTGCCAGGTATCGAAATAAGGCTGACTGGTCTGTAGTTCCCCAGATCTTCTTTCTTCCCTTTCTTAAAGATAGGCATTATGTTTGCTCTTTCCCAGTCACCTGGTAACTCATCCAACCTCCACACATTCTCAAAGGGGATAGCTAATGGCTCAAAAATTACTTCAGTCAATTCTTTCAGTACCCTAGAGTGCATCCCATCCAGCCCTGCTGACTTGAAAGTATTTGCTCTGGTATTGCTGTAGGCTGTTTGGCTCCTTCCCTATCTTTGCTTCCAGCTATACTTGTTATCCAGTAGCTGTTCCTATTCGTGTAAACCAAAATGAAAAAAGGCATCAAATACTTCAGTCTTCTCTAAATCATCCGTAACTAGATTGGCTTCTGCATTCAGTTATGTGCCTATGTTTTCTCCGGTTTTCCTCTTACTTTTGACATACTGGTAGAATCCCTTTTATTGTTTTTTTATGGTCCTTGCCAGATGCATCTCAAATTATGCTTTTTACTTCCTAATTTTCATCCTGCATGCTAGTACAATACTCTTATACTCTTCCATAGTACTATGAAAGTTTCCACTTTTCTATAGGATTCCTTTTTTAATTTTAACTCTTTGAAGTGATTGCTGTCTAGCCAGGCACAGATTGCTGTCTAGCCTGTTGTACAGCCCAAGCTAGCTCTTGTGCCTTTAGGAAGGCCTCCTTAATGAAGCCAGCTCTTTTGGACTCCTTTTCCTCTCACATTTGCCTTCCAGGGGCTCCTGCCCACCAGTTCCCTGAGTTTGTTAAAGCTGTGTTGTAGAGTTGTTGGTTATAGCCCTGTTGATCTAAGGACATAGGCAGACAAGGTTCTTTGGGTAGACGTGGTATCTTTTATTAGGCCAACTAAATAGTTAGAATTTTTTTTCTTTGCAAGCTTTCAGGTGCAAACACCTTCTTTAGGCAATAGGGAGAGTCTCAGGCAATAGAGAGACTCTCCCTATTGCCTAGAAAAGGGTCTTAAAGCCATGTTCACCTTTTGCAGAAACATGGCTGAGCAGAGGTGCTAGCCATGTTTTGCAACATATTAAAAAAATGAAAACAGTATTTTAGTTTGAAATACCAGCTTCAAATTAATTGGCATTTTCCTCCTCATTTCTTGCTTTTTAAATATTTTGATTTTCCAAGTGGAAGAAGTTGAATAAACGGGAGAAGTGATTGCAAGGCTTTATCAATTTTTGCTCAGTATTTAATTGCTCCTCTCTTCACTTCTTCCAGTTGAGCCAAATATACTGGAATATTAATGATAGAATGCGAGAAAACATGGGAAAATCCAGCTAAGACACCCAAAATAAAATAGAAAAGCAAAACGCCCCATTCAAAAAATATTCATTTTGAACTGTCAGTCCAAAAGAACTTTTTTCTTTTAACAATATTGATTCAAAAGAAATGTGTGCACTTGATTTACCTGACTGGAAATTTTAAAATAGTTTTCAAATTTGGCATTTTTGCCACAGGCACTTTCGAGTTAGGTGAAAATACATTATTTGGATTTTTTTTTTCCCAGGTGAACATTCTGAGCAGTTCTAAAACTAACTACTTGATGAGATCTAGCTTCTCTGTGTGGTTATTACTGTGTTTGAATTAGTTTACACATTTGTACCAATAACTCCCATTATTTGTTATATTCATGGTTATTACTTGTTTATAAAATTAAATGATTTACTGTGCCTTGCTCCAATTAATTAACTTGTCAGAGAAATAAAGAGGGAGAAATATTTTAAATAAAATGCATGAAAAAAGGCTCTAAGCCAATCTGCTGATCTTATACTCATCAACATTAATTCCACTCAAGTGCAAAAGGCAGAAGTCAATACAATTGTCTTACAATGGACTGAACAAATACACAGCCCAATTTTGTCCTAAAAAATAAATGGAAAAACTCCTGTTAATTTAAAGGAAACCACATTTTGTACTTGAGAAATTGTAGGTCTTAGGCACTACAAGAAAAAGAAGAAGAAAAAGAAGTGAATAGTCCTAATAGGACTGCGCCTAAGCATGACAGAGATTGGCTGTTGGCAAATTTATCTTGTAAAGCTATGCAAGGAACAGTAAATATCCTACTGAGATAGATGCTTGCCTTCAGCCTGCTGTAAGTCATAGTACAAAGGTTAAATTTGATTTTATTTGTCTGATATGATAAACTAATCTAGTGCACTCCAGCTCATTCTTTCTTAGCATGGGGTCAAGTTCTTGGTTCCATATGTCTTTCTCTTTAGATTGTATGCAAACAAAGTATGTGGAAGGGGGAAGGAGACAGTCAAACTCGTTATAAAACAAAGAAGTACACGCAAGGTGAGTATACAATGTAAAATGGTGATGCCTTTGTTTTTAGGAGACTGTACTTTTCACTGTCTCCTGAGATAGCAGCCATTTTGACGTCAAAGTTGAGTTTTTCTAAATTTTAAGAATTTTTTTGGTTAAATTGGTTTTTATTTGTGTCTTTCATTTGCCTTTACAAGTGGACTATACACTATTCAATGGAAGTTAGATAACAGCTATTCAAACTTGAAGATGCACTGATCATTTTTTATTGGTCAAGTAAACCATATGGTATTATTTCTGGTCCCTGACTGGACACAAACAAGAGCATCACTGTCCAATGAGGTTAACTGGTGTACCCCTATTGACTTCAGCTGTTTACTGTATGAGGCCCATAATAAGGAAATCTTGAAAAAATACTATGGCTTTGAATTTCTCAAGGAAAAGCAAGAAGTATAAGCAATAGTGTAAGTTGGAATGGGCAAGTGGGGCAGCAGCCCCACATGCCAACTTAGTAGGGGTGCCAGAATTGCATCCACACTCCCATACTGTGCTTGCAGCTACAGTAGCAGCAGGCAGGAACCATTTTTTAGTACTCAATATAGACAAAACTCCCACCCTCTCTCAGAACCTTCTCCCCACCCCCATTCTCCTGCAAGGTTTACCCAGAGTACAAACCCTGTTTGTTGCACCTCTGAGTATGAGCAAACATTAAAAGACACCCAGGCTTATGAACTTTAAGACAGTGTTTAACAAGTTCCAATTTAAGTCATACATGCCTTTGCCTGAGCCATCATTCCTAGAAGAATGAGTTTGCAGGATGATTTATAAACTGGGTGTAGAATTAAAATTTAATCTTCTTTCATTGCATTTACGCAAATTAATTGTGTGTGTGTGCATGTGTGTGAGGTCCTGGTGAAGAAGGGTGTGGTGAGATCCTCATGTGACTCATCTAATTGCCTTTGTGCCAGAGTTTACAAAAGTGGTTTAGGGAAGCCTTTGCTGATACATCAAGCTCTGTCCCCTCTGTAAACCACACAGCATCCAATGCAAGTCCTCAAGAGCATTTAATAATGAGACCTTCCATTCTCTTCCTGCAGCTCCTTGACTCATTAAACAAACTATTCAGCTTCTTGTGCAAATAGTCAAGAGTGACTGGTATGGCAAAACTTGATTTCTGAGAAGCAAAAATGATAGGAATATGAGAACAGCCAAATTCACTTGAATCTGGGCAAAGTCTTGGAAAGTGTAGGCATGTGCGTATGTATAAATGTTCATCCCACGTAACCAGGAACACAATCCAGGTCACATTGCCAGTCTATTTCCTTTATTGTAAATTAACCCTTTGAAAGTGTTTGCACTTCAAAGAGAAAGAACCAATGTGCTGAAAGGAGTCCTGATTCAGCATACCACTTAACAATGTGCTTAAGAGTAATTGTAAGCAGTCCTAATTGAATGTTCCCAGGCTTAAAGTTAAGTATGTGTTTTAAGTACTTTGCTGAATGGAGACTCAAGATTCCAAACTTTTTTTTTTTTTTGCTATGGGGATCAAGAATGTCCATGTATACCCACTGAAACAGATAACAAAGAGGACTGACTTGCTGAGCTAGTCACCTAGCATGAAATATACTTGGAAACACAGATTCTCAGCTGGCATAAAACATTATTACCGCCATTCATATCAATTGAATGAAGCAATCATTTCACAGGTGCTGGAAATCTGGCTCTAAATTCAGCATCAACATTTGTAGAATCTCTTATACCACGCATATAAAAGCATGTTGCTCTCTCTTCTGTAGGGAGATTAAAAATCCCATGGAACATGCTCCTTAGGCAGTAGATGTCTGTGCTGTGTTGAAGGTCAATATGTCTGATACCCTCTGCTCCAGAGATAGCTACATTTCAGAGGTGTGTGCAATAACTTCTTTACATATATGGTTTAGAAAACAGCTAAGGACCCTTTGAGATGAAAGGTGGTAAATACAAGTAAATGATTATTATCATCATTATTATTATACAGGTATTGAGAATTGCTATCAAAGAACCAAGACTTCAATGACAAAACCTTTGGACACCTTTGAGTTTGATTTTTTGTTGTAATTTCTGTGCTAGTAGTTAGGAGTAATTTGTTCGCTTTCCTTGGTTAGAATTTTTTTATACAAGCCATTCTCAGACAGATTGCATTATGCTGTGTGCCTTGTTCAGCGAAGTTAAATAAAGCCCAATGTTATAATGATTCAAGTGCTTCCAAACCATTTCTAGCATTTAATATTTTAATTACTCTTTTGGATTAGAAGTTCCTTTCATAAGCAAATTAGCATGGCATTTTGACAGGCTGGGGGAATTGTTTTTAGATTTGACTTTACTTGTTAGACTTCATGTTGGGTTGGGAACTGCAATCATCATAATTACCATTGAAGTGAAATTCCAGATCTTCTAGTACCAGTAGGTAAATGAGTAACAGCCATAAACTTCACCCTTTACTGTCTGACTGTGGGCTGTGGTGCTAAAAAAACAAAATGAAGGTGGATATAAACACAGGTGGAAAGCTGGAGCATAATTAAAGTTATTACTGAATTTAAATAAAATGTATTTTATAAGGCCCTTCGCCCTATTTAAGGCCCTACTGAACTTT